AGAAAAATTTCGTATTAAATAATTTAATTGAGTTGTGAATTCAACATTAATTTTTAGCCATCAATATTCTTATTTATTAATTTACTTTCATCTTTTTAAAATTGATTATTTTTCGGTCATTCCGGGAATTCCCGGTATTCCGGTTCCGATTCCGAATCCTGGCATTCCATATCTTCCAAACTACCTACATTCCTGGCGAAGTAGAAAGAATTAGCATGGCCTTGAACTCTTGCGTAACAGCCGTTCAACGGATCGCATTACATTTGTTGTCATTTTTTAGCTCAAACTCTTTTAAAGCTGGACGCGCCGCCTACGGCAGAACAAAAAAGAAACTTATAGGAATTAAACTACAAGGATAAAGATTTAAGATGATATGTATTTTGGCTTGTAAATATATCATACAAGACCTTTTAATGGCCCTTAAATGGGTCGTGACAGCTGTTCAGCGGTTCGCATTGCATTTTTGACAAAATAGCCCAAACTCTTGTAAACCTGGACGCGCCGCTTAAGGTGGGCCAAGAAAGAGAATTGGAGGAATTAAAATACAAGGGTAAAGCTTTAAGTTGATGTACATTATGATTTGTAAGTATATATGGCAGACCTGTTCATGGGCCACTGAAGTTCACCTTTGACCTCCGCGAAAGAGACGGAGAGTACTTTATTTCAACGGGTCACTCTTCAGACTTCATCATCATCAATCCTTTTCATGCCTCGTGGCTCATAGGGCCTTAAAACTGGCCCTCCAGGTTGGGGGTTGGGCAAAGGGTTGATAACCCTCTCCCGTAAAAAAATAATTATTACAGAAACTCGTCAGACTTAACGCAACAAAATAACAAGAAATTAATATTTTCCAAGAGATGAACGGACCATCTGCTAGCACACAAAATTTAAAAGCGGGACTGCATCGCGCTGTAGCGTACGAAGTTGCCAAAGTTGCATAATTTTTCATTGTTTTATGGGGGGGGGGACAACAGCCATTTAGGCGTATTTCGAACTTTTCGATTTTTGGGAGAAAAAAAAGGGTGATAGAACTTGTTGATATAATTTTCGAAAAAGGTTCATTAAAAGGGTCCTTTAGAAAAAATAAAAAGAATTACGAAATTTTGCAACTGTCGGCGGATTTTTGATATTTATGGTCAGTGGCTCTTAATACTTGAAGGCACAGAAACATTACTCTTACGCTGATGCATTTTATGTTTTAGGGCCATATTTGAAGGACTGTCTAAACACATTTGTGATGGGACACTGGTCAGCGTCAAGGCAAATAATCCCAAGACATTGCTCTGTTACAAACAACAATAATTTAATATTTGTANAGAGGAATTTTAGGGGATCATATGGTTTTCAGGGGGCACAGAGGGGGAACTAGTTCCCCCCAAATTTATAATGACCAGCCAGTCCCCTAGAGAATGACTGCAATAACTTTATCGAGACTTGCTGGTAAGATTGTCATGAGCTCATCTTTACGAGCAAGTGACCGTTAATGAAACTACAGCAAAGACTACTGGGAGGAATTTAGGAGTTGACAGGACTTGAATTAGTACCACCTTGAAAAAAGTGTTTCTACCAAATGAAAAACAAGTCAGACGTAGGTAGTGAGTCGAACTTTAAGGGTTCGTTGCTCCCCGAGAGGTAACACGAGTTCAACACTGGACAAGATTGATTCATGTTGTAGCATTTACCCAATCTAAGGTCAAGGCTTTTCCAATATCTCTTTGTAAGACGATTGGGTTAATTACTTACAGTTCTGTGCTCATCTGCAGCTGTAGTTGGACCAGAATTTGTGTCCTCGTAATCTTAAAAAAAAGAGTATCAGATGAGTTCGGCCCCAGCTTATCAAGTTTCGTCCATCTCTCTGCTACGACTACTCTTTGTGTTCCGAAAAAAAACTAATCCTTTCACAATCCTGGATCTTTACCTTCTTATAGCGATGAAATTTGAGTTTAGATCAGTATCTGAGCAATTGAATACCGCCTCCACCCCACTAGCCCAACAACTGCCAATTGATAACAAGTTAGGGTTAATTTTGGGTTAGGGAGGGGTAGGTGCGCAGTTGCTCAGATACTGACGGTCGATTGCTCCACCATGTGCATGATTTTGACAAGTACTCTGAGCTCGAAAACACGTGGCCCTAGCTAGAAAAGCAAGGAAGAAGGCGAAAGAACATTCAGGCCGGAACGACCGTCTACTTTTCATATTGACATTTTCGCACAAAAATCGAACGACATGTGCGGACTGCCATGAGTTATCTTGCACTTCTACATTTGAAAAGGTCTGCTTTTATGTAGGGACCAGCTATTTATTATCGCCTCGGGGAAGAAGCGCAGGGGGAGGGGGGCGGCCAGGGGTTTTGTGGGGGATCACATGGCTAAGGCTAGTCCTCAAAAAAGTTAACAGGAATTCGATGCGAAATCAACGAAACGTGGAACCCAGTGCTGACGACGTCATACGTAGTTGGGTTCGGCAAATCACTGCCATACGCGTTTCTTTTTAAAAATGGGAAAGTTGGGGACCAAATTTCTTGAATTTGCAATGTATTCCTACGAAAAGTTGCAGATTTACTAAATTTTTGTGAAAAGGCTCTTCGTATGAAAAGTTGCAAAGCGTGACACCCTTAAGGAGGTATATCTAGTCACGCAACACAAAGTTATATATTTCTACCACATCACAGCCGAGGAAACCACAGTTTTCGGCCTTCAAACCAGCTGTTGGCTTTGTGAATTCTTGTGAGTGGAATACGATTGAATGTTTGAAAAAAAAAATTTTATTCAAAGCATAAATCTGGTGGATCAATTAGTTTTCACAGATGTGTTACATGTCTGTTGGATTTGCCATCAGATGAATAATGTTGTTGTCCGAACTCTGGCGCTATTTATATTGGATGCTTTTTAATCCGTCCAAAATTGTTTTAAATAAAGCAAAATAATTACTAACAAAGGGTAAAGGAAAACAATTAACGAGACTGTAAAATAACTCACTGGGCGTGGGAACGATTTAGGCAGATCATCAGAAGTACAAACTTGTCAAAACCATATTTCGTGATCCATTATTCTTTGCCTAAATCAAATACCACTTTGCGTAATACACGCTAGCAGCTTCAAATTTCAGCGATGCATAGGCAGAAAAGCCATTCCAAACAAAATTCGGAGCTATATTACGAAAACAAGATAGCCGCCAGTCGACATGAGGCTTATGTTTTTTTTTTTTTTTTTCGGTGAATGCATTTTCTTACTTCGCCCAAAAATTGCCTAGACAATTTTGTAACACTTGATATCTACCACAATTTGCTCCATGGTAAACGATGAACCGAACTTGGTTTGGTTTCGGTTTAACAATCTATCTGTCTTTTGCGATCCATTCGTAAAATTGAACATAGCTACAATTAAAAGATTACCCTGAAAACTTGACTTACCTCGCTGCGATAATCTCTTCAGTAACAGAATTCCGACCGCCAAAGAGATCACATAAGCGACGGCCGTTCGAACCGGCTTTTTCTTCGTCATCCCGAAGAAACCTCGTCTAAACCGTGAGGCTATTATCATTTTGTACCGAAAGCAAGTGGAAACGTTAATGAAGGGAAAAGCAGAATTGAAACGCTTGATGGTAACATATAAGACGCCACTTCAGAAAGCGTGTTTAATTTTGGATACACGTTGGCACCAGTATATTGAAAGCATCACCCCAACGGGGGAGGGGATCTCACATAAAACCGGACTCACAGATTTCACACCCTAACTTGGTGTGCATATCCTGAAGGATTTAGCTCTAACAAGGAGGAATCAAAAGTATCTTGGCGATTATATCCTTCATGCCCGAGGCTTAAGGTGCCTATGACATCAAAACGGTTTTCATTTCAAATAAAACTATAGCATCTCTATTGTACATCTACCGAAAACAAAGTCTGTCTAAAATATTTTTACCCCTAAAATTTTAGCTCAAAGTTGGCCTTTTTTCGATCAAATAGTGGTCGGAGAATGGGATCGAGTTTTTTGGCGGTATGACGTCATCTTGTGAACCTGGGAGTTTTGAAGCCACTCGCTGCATCATAGTTACGACCAGAGAAAACAACTCACAATAGGGAATGATTCTTGTTCTGAAATCAGCGTGGATGGAAAAAGTACAGAAGAGAATACTTATTCAAAAGACGACAGTGAAACTTTTTCAATTGACGGCCAGTATGAACCATACCAAGACGAGCCACTGGCGGAGAGCGAGATCGACTAAAGTGGCGACTAAGATGAAACGGACATTGATGGTTTGACAGCTGAAGATTTAGCTAACCGGCAAGATGGAGTCGCCACATTGAATTCTTGGTTAGTTTCTTTCTCTCCCGATGTTGAAGTGGCAATCAGATGCTAATTTCTTTCACATTCCTGCCTTTAGGTGCCGGTGTTCATGATGTTCTGTGGAAACGCTTGCCGGCGCACTCGAGTTTCGCTGTTGTAGATAAGTGGTGCATGCATCGGGAAAAATGGTTTTTGATGGTTCCATCGAAAACATTGAATGTATTACACAGCACGAAGACTACGCTGCAATGTCTAACAAAACTGTTTTAATTGCAAGTTGCACCGCTTCTTAGAAATCAAGATAGCCAGTCCTATCGAAGAAGAAGTGGAGTTTCTGAAAATGAGCGAGTCTTACAGCGACAATTCCAACCTTTCATTTTACGTTCATTGTCATTACGTTCGTTGAATGTAATGTACCACACATGAGATCGAAATGTAAACTGTGATAAACAAAACATTCTCCAAAGTTTGCTTGCATGTGAGCATAGTATCATTTTGTAAAATTTGGCTTCTTGTAATATTTGAACGCAGTCTAAAACTATACTCGAATAAACTAAGTTGATTTGACTGAAAAAAAACGGTTTTAATGCTATCTGATTAATGAATGGTTTTCAAGTAATACTTTTGTTTGTAGGTTCATTCGGTCAGTTGCTTACAGATGGATTATCAGATGGCTAGGCGGATGCATGGGCTGGAGCAACAGACCACCATTACCAGCATGTGTTTATCACAACATCAGAAAAGAATACAGTACAAATAATTCCCAAGCGAGAGGTTACTATCATGAACAAGCAGATGATCTTTAATAATCTATTACTTCTGTTAAATAAACTGTTTTATAAATTACAGTCTTAAATACTTTATACCATGATAACATTTATACTCAATTTTTTATTGACTGATTGTCTTTATTTAAGAAGCTATAAACAAAATGTCATCTACAATTACTTGGACATCTATATTTCACATAAACAGTATTGTTAGTACTTGTCAATAACTTTATAAAACTATTTTCTTGCACTTCAACATCATATTTGTAATACTGATGAAAATTAGGAAAAATAAGTTAAAACCACCAGCATGGAAAATTGTGTGTGATGTTTTAACAATAATTGTTTGGCATTTGTTGAATTAGAACAACATACCCTGAAGACAGAACAAACAGATTGTCATATTCAGAGGGAAAGACTATGTACAACTGTCTTTGGCTGAGTGATAGTTTCATTGATTAGTCATACCAATTAATATAAAGTATGACATCATAATTTCATGCTCCTAACTAGGTTAGTTTGGACATTACTGAACTGTGATATTCACTAAAAAAGAAAGGTTTGTGCCACACACTAAACTCAAACTTCGCTTGACAAATGTTCAAATACATGGACATTATACAACATAATATCTTTTCAAAGGCAATATTTTTTTATTTTTGTCTTTATAGATTGAATAGAGGTAGCAAATTATGTAAAAACATTCACTAACCATATGTCGGTGGTGCCCGTACTTCTCGTCCAACTTCATCACCAGGTTTAAACTTAGGGTATGTGACTTTAAGCCTAGATTTTCAATGCTGACTTCTCTGACTGTTGCCTCACCCTGCTTGAACTTAGGGTATGTGACTTTAAGCCTAGATTTTCAATGCTGACTTCTCTGACTGTTGCCTCACCCTGCTTGAACTTAGGGTATGTGACTTTGTAGTATTTCTCACCATCTTGTGTGGTCTGAGGTTTTTGTAAGACATTTTCATTAAAATGAAGACTGGCAAGAATGTGCCTGAAATATGTGTCAGTGTTAGGTTTACACATATTACCAAGTTATCACTTTCAAATTAAGGTCTCCTTTCTCCATTAATTCATGCCCAGAGTGTATACCTGCACATTTGACTAGTTTTAGAAATGGTTTAAATGTAGTTATAGTCATGGAAAATTTATTGTTTACAACAATTATCAATTAAAATTACCATCAATTATATACTTGCAAAAGATATAATAAACTTGCACATTAGATCTTACAGTACTAAATAATACTCAAACTTAGTTCTCGTATTTGCTGTCCAAGCTCTTTGACAGTTTTCTTCGATTCAGACGATTGTTTGAACGTTTGTAGTTCTTCAAACAATCACTTGATTTTTCACTGCTAAAAGGAGTATTGGCAATGGTGTGGATGGGGCTTGCTGGTATTTCTAATGATTCGTCTGGCTGAACGGGAATCGTAGATGAATGAATAGAAACCCCGAAAAGAGATTATTTTACACGTGCATCATGAATGTAATCTTTGATTTAAAAGATGGATCGGCTGCTCGATAAATACAGTAAGCTAACCTTTCGTTTATCGCGAACACTCAAGCTTGTATCGTTTCTAGTTGGTACCACCGTGTCTCTTGTTTGTACAGCCTCTTTCTTTAAGACTCTGGCCATCTTAAAACCTCTATCTGTACCGCTCTGTGGTAGCAATTGTCTTCAAAATGTGCTGAGCATAGCGAAGTGTACTTGCTTGCAGGACGAAAGTCACGCAGGTGCCTTTGAACAAACTTTGTTCCTTTTTCACGGACATTTGAATCAATTGGAAACTGGTGCATTGTAACACCAGGAGTGTACGAACTATTTTTACAACTTTGGTTGTTTGGAGCTCCAGCAACACAATATCTTCCTCCTTTTCGTTTCGTTCTCTTACTCTGTGTTGTGTTTTCCGCCATCAAGCTGTGGTACACAAGATGACGTCACGAAGCCTGTTTTGTCTGTTTTGGCCGCGCGATTTGAATACCACTTTTTACTAAGAAAATTGCCAAATTCAGAGAGCTATAAACTCGTCAATTTTTATTATTTTAGGATGAAATTTTTTCTTATTGCTTTTTAAGACTTGTAGTTTTTATTTAAGTTAGAACACCGTTGATATTGTTAGGGGACTTTATGATTTAAATGAATACTTTCAGATTTGAATAGTTTCTAATTCACTTCATATGTAAATAGTTTCTATATTCCCTTTTTCAATTGAATTTTATCTTATGTTTACACGCATAGTGTGAAGAAAGCGGAAAATACTCGATACAAGGTGTGAAATGTCGCATATGTTATAAATGAACGAAAATAACGCATCACTTTATCTTAGCTCAAGAGAGAGAGAGAGAAACAACCTTCCAATTTAAGTAAAATAAAATCACACTGGGATTTTGAAGTCCTCGGTCTCTTTTGTTTGAATACTTGTGATAAAAAAGAGCCTGCACTGGTGCCACGCTTCCACTTAGTTTCCTTCCAAACCTCTGTTTGATCTCATCACGCAACTTCCTCTCGCGTGTCGCGTGACGAGACCAAACAGCGGTTGCGAAGGAGAATACACTTACTGCCGCCCCCATCCTCGGAGACCCAGGGGCTGTGAGTCGATTTCAAGTTAATGGCAGAAGAGCCCCTGGGGACATTGTCTTACAAGACTAGTTGCAAACGGTCGCAGTCGTTCTGGCATCTGATTGGTGCCAGAAAATCTTTGTGTTTTTCTGCCCAATCAGAGTGAAGTGTGCTTTCGAGTCCTTTCGTGTGTCTTATACGGACATAGACAAGAAGCTCTGTTACTCGCTATGTTTGTTTGAGCCGTGCGACGAAGCTTTGCTCGTGGTGAAACGTTTCAGTCTCAGCACACAATGTAAGAGAAATCGATCAGATTGTCTGCGAAAATCTTACCGGTAATTATACTGAATACTTTCGAAGGTATCACAAGAGAACGTGTTTAAAAGTTTGATAGATTCGTACAAAACATAATGGCTGCAGGCACTGATATGTTGCTTTAAACGTTACATGATGAGATGTAAGCTTAAATCTTTCTACCAGTGTAGATTATTTGTATAATTTGCTGTAACTGAAACTTGTCCAATTCCGTGAAGCTATTTTGTCGCACGGGCCACGCAGGTATGTCGAGCAACTGGCGCTTACGTAGCTTCAAGTTCTGTGCGCGCCAAAATCTAATCTTCGCCTGAAAAAAATAGAAAAGCTTAGCGTGGAAACTTTTGTTTATTACATGTGAGTAGATGACCCTGTACTAAGCTGACATTAACAATAAAGCAAACCCGCCTTTTCCATCCAATATTTCTTGGTCTTTGGTTTTGTTTTCCTCAATGAAAGCAGCATCGATTCCCAATGATCAAAGGTATTTAACTTGGTCTTCAACAATCGACAAAGGAGGTGAAATGACAATGACCAAGGCAGTACAAGAGAATCCGTGGCCTT